AAGTGAGAGCGTGCGTATATTTTTTCTTTCCAGGTTTGTTATTGTTTTTTACATAAATAAGAAGCAGGAGATTCATCATTCACTGATAACCTCATGTCATAATTTGGTATCCTATGTGTAGATATAATATGTATTTTAAGTAATGGTAAGAACAGACTTTGACTATTGTTTTATGAACCTACTTTCAGTATTTAACAATGTAGCCTGGACTTTCATGTTAACCAATACAGATTTACTCCATTTTTATGTCTGTGTAATATTTTCGTATGAAATACGATGATTCATTCGGTAATCCTCTCTTGTTAGGGACTTGGGTTGTGTCCCATTTTCACTGTTATAAGCAGTACTAGGATCAACATCCATGGAGTTAAACCTCTAGTCACATCTTCAATCATTTCCTTAGGCAAGAAGTTCTGGAAGTAAAATTGCTATAATATTTGGGTATCCACATTTTTAAGGATTTTTGCAAAAAAATTTGTCACATGGCCTCGTGAAGATTGCACCTCACCCTCCTATTAGCATGGGAGCACTCACGCCCAACACCCTCATCAATTCTGACAGTGTCCTTTTGCTCTTTCAAGGAAATTGTCAAGGCTCAAGAGGGAAGAGACATTTAATAAAAGCTCCTCTTGGCACAGATGAGAAAGATGGAGCCCAGTGAAAGAAATGACTGCCAGGGCCAGCACAGTGGCACCGTGCAGAATCATCTACCCAGGTCTCTTGATGTCCACATCAGCACTCTTTGCCCAATGGCCTCTACACACCGTTTCTGACCTTTAGCTCTGGCATTTATTCAACAGGTAGTTACTGAGCCCTTGCACATGCCAGGCAGGTACTGTGCTGGCCACTAGGCATACCCCACTGAGCAAAGAGCAAGCCTTGTCCTGGAGGATTCACAGGAGGACGCAGGAAGGCACCCCAATGGCACCCCAAGAGCTGTGTGCAGGGTTCTTTAGGAGCATCGGAGAACAGCGCTTAGACCAACTGGGGGGGGCCTAGGAAAGCTTTCTCGAGGAGTTGATGCTTGAGATTATCTTGAAGAATGTTTGAAAGTTGGCTAAGTGGACACAGGAAGAGCATTCTGACACAGCAAAGGACTGGACGCAGGTGGGCTCCATGCAGATCATTACACCATGAGACACGGGGGCGGGGGGGGGGGGGGTAGGATGAGGCAGAGGCCCAGGACCCAGCGCTCTCTGACCTACTGAGAAGTCCTGGTCCTGAAGACTCCAGGGAGCCATAAAGGGTATACAGTGCATGGTCAGTTTTATTTTAGAAACCTCACTTAGGCAGCAGAGCGGGGGGTGCACTGGGGTGGGGATGGGGCAGGCCCAGAGGCCAAGAGCTGGGCAGGAGGCATCTTAGCGATTCATGGGCCTCAAAAGGCCACCCCGTTTTCTCAGGGGAGGCAGTGAATGTTTGAAAAACGAAAGCCTTTGCAAAGAATGATGCGAAAATCCCCTTCACTCTCTACCCAAGTGGTGGTGGGAGAATTCTCAAGATGTATAAGCGCCAAACCATCTGCCTTTGGCTCAGGGCCGGGGCCATGGGCCTGCTTTTGTGTGCAGAGGCTTGAGATGCTCTGTGACTTGACAATGTTTCCAATCAATGAATGGCCCGACCAGGATCACTGCATGGCAGCCCAGTGCACCCCTACAGATCCCTCATCTAGGACCTCCTTGTGGCCCTGGTGAACTTGAGGTTCTAAGGGCTTCCCAACATGCAGAGTAACCTGAAGGAGAATACATTGCCCCAGGAGCTATTCCAAACAAGCCTTGTCCCATAAGTTCTCCCCCCCGCCCCCCACCCCCAACTCCCCACGCCAACTCCCCATCCTGGGGGTGGCCTCTGGAGGGCACTGCGGGGACCCTGCCTCTCAAGCCTATAGTCCTTTGAGGATGGCCCCGACCCACCCCTAAGGTGAAGTCCAACTGCCTGTGGGATAACGGGCCTTCTCTGCTACTGTTTGCAAAACAGTTTGTTCTTTCTTAATGCTGTTTGGGGAACGATTCAGTTGGGATTACAGCCAGATTTCCTGTGCGAGTGTGTGGTTGGAGAGCAGGAGGCTATGGAAGCTGGGGAGGGGCGGAGGGTAATGACATCAATTGCACCCAGCCCAAAGACCTTGTTTCCTCTCTCTTTAAAACTTTAAAAATTAATTTCGAATTATACAGGTCATCCTTGGAGCTACTTTGAGAAAAATTAAAATATAACAAGTCAGGTTAAAGCTCTCTTTAGACCAGGGTATTGCACCATCCCCAATTCCAGTCCCCTTCCTCCACTCCTGAGACATACACACTGGTCATTTTTGTATTTGTCCTTCCAAACCTTTTACTTTACATTCGTTTCTATGTGTAGATCTGTGGGAAATATTCCTCTGCCTTTGTTTTTCCATAAATGCTATCACATTACATACACTCTTGGGCAATGTGCTTCTCTCACTCAACAATACAGCTTGACCGCAATCTCACTTTTTAACTGCTGTGTAGTACACTTTAACAGAATTATACCTCCATTATGCAAGCATTCCTCCATTAATGGAAATTTTCATTTTTCCATTTTTTTTTTCAGTAACAAAAACAATGAAATAAAGGCCTCTTTGTACACACACTCAAGTGTTCTCCAGGATGAAGATTGAGAAGTGGGCCACAGATTTTGTGCATTTTAAAATTTTAATAGCTAGATGTTGCCAAACTGTCCTCCAAACTTTGTAAAATTCTCCTGGGCAAAGATTGGAATCACATGATTGGATCAATGTTTATTTCTTTAATGAATAGTGAGACTGAGCACCTTTTTATTTATATTACCTCTTCTGCTAATTTCCTGTGTTTGGTTTTGTCTATTTTCCTATTGGATTGTCACTTTTTATTGATTTGTAAAAGATATTATATGTTCTGGATAAACACTAATCTGTCAGCTATGTGTGTTACTAATGTTTGTTTTTTTATCCCAACCTGTCACTTTTCATTTCTGTTTTTTTTTTATAGGGTTTTAATTTTGATGTGGTCAAATTTTACCCATCTTTTCCTTTATGGATTTTTTTCCCCAGACTTGGTTAAGAGGATCTCCCTTTCTACAAGATCATAAACATATTTTCTGATATATTCTTAGTACTATGATTTTTCACATAGAGATTGCTAAACCATCTGGAATTTTTGTATGTGCACAATGTAAGGTAGGGAGCTACTTTCAATATTTTCCAAATAAATAACCAATTGGCCCAATGCCTTTCATTGAATAATCTATCATTTCTCCCCTGAATTGAGATACGTTTTTTATCCCACCATAAATGTATATTTTATTCTACCGATCTACAAGTCTATTTATCCATTCCCATGTTAATACTTCATTGTTGCAACTACCCTAACTTCCTAATATGCTTTGATTTCTGGTAAGATAAATTCTTTTTCAAAAGAATCTTCAACATTCTAACACATGTAGTCTGTCTCATGAATTTTTGAATGTCTAATTCCATGAAAACTCCTATTGAGATTTTTATTGATATTGTATTCAATTTATACATAAACTTGGTGACATTGACATCTTGATGATATTAAGTTTTCCCATCCATGGACATTCATTCACTCAACATATATTTACTGAGCACCCATGTGCTGCACTGTTCTGAGTCCTGGGGATACAGCAATCAACAAATTACCTGCTCTTGTGGAGTTTCCTTTTTTGAGTAATGCGTTGAGTCTACATTCTTGAGTGTACAATTTTATTTAAGTCTACTTTTATATTCTTTATTGAAATGTTATTGTTTCACCTTCTTGTTAGGTCTGCTCCTAAATAATTTCTTTTTGAAAAATGTATATAAATTTGATCTTTAAATTTCTCTACAGAACTTGTAAACTCTGTATTTTTTCCCATAAAAGCATTCAAGGTAACTATTTTAAAGATAAAAAATTTAGTATGCTTCTTTTCCTTTTCTTTTGGAGGTAGATTCCCAAATATGAAAAGCACTGGGCATTTTACACCCACCATTCTAGAAAGGTTTCATTCTCTATTTAATAAAACAAGTAAAAAATTTTCAAAGAGTAAATATTCAAGCTTTTGTTAGTTTTAAATACTGCTTCAAAAATTTGTTTAGGGAAGTATTATAAAGGTAAAGAAAGACAAGTTAAATTACATGATTATACAAATGTTTGATAGTTATTCTGTTAACTCCCTTTATACTTGTGTTTATTGGTGGGGGTTAGAGGGGTAAACTTTCATGAGACAAAATTCTACAAAAAAAACCCAACAACAATACACACACACACACACAGCACTAAACTCAAGGAAAAATAATTCAAGATTCAGATTAGTTAAAATTCAAAGAGACTGATAAAGCTGATGCCAGTCAGCAGGTGAAAAAATAAGTGCAGCAATTGCCCCCATGCCACGGGATGGCAATTTGGCAATGTTAGTCAAAGTCCAAAACGTATATTTGCTCTGACTCAGCAGTATTAAATCCAGGAAGGAACGTGTCCTTCAGAGGCAGGCTTAGGAAAGCATAAAGACATCTGCACCAGGGTGTTCACTTCGGCCTCATTTCCAACTACCGAAAGACGAGAACCAAGCCAAAGAGCCCTCACAAAAATGTGCCACATCCACATGATGGGCTTTTTGTTGTTGTTTGGCTTTTTGCTGCCTTTAAAACTGATGAGGGAGGTCAATATGTAACAATATAGAAAGATATCTCCCCCAACAAATCTACTTAAAAATAATATAAAAATAGCCCTGACCGGTTTGGCTCAGTGGACAGAGTGTCCGCCTGCGGACTCAAAGGTCCCAGGTTCCATTCCGATCAAGGGCATGTACCTTGGTTGCGGGCACGTCCCCAGTAGGGGGCGTGCAGGAGGCAGCTGACCGATGTTTCTAACTCTATCCCTCCCCCTTCCTCTCTGTAAAAAATCAATAAAAAAATAAAAATAAAAATAAAGGCAGACATTCTCACTTTTGCCTCAGGGCCCCAGGGGAGAAGGAGAATGCAAAGCAGTCACACATGGAACCCCCGGCTGTCCGTAGCCCTGGGGTGTCTTCTGCTCTGGGCCACCTCCAGGCCGGAGCAGGGAGCAGCGTGCAGGAACTCCCCCACAGGCAGCCTGCTTGGAGGGTTCTGAGCAGGATCTCCCATCTGTTTGTCTTTTCTGGAATCCTGCCGTTTCTAGTCTTGCTATGCATGGTGAGTGTTTGCTTCTTTGGTTAGTTTTTCTTGCCTCTTTTGTTTCCCTGAGTTTGGTACAGGGGACTCAAGATTGCAGAATGCGCCTTCTCTCTGTGCTCCCTTCATCCCCTTCTCTTTCTCCCTCCAGGACCCTGCCCCAACTCTAACACCTGGCCCTGCAACCAGGGACTCAGGAAGCTGACAAATTTTCTTCTCCAGAGAAGAAACTCAACAGCTGCTTGCTGTTCATTCATTTTGCCCCGGGCACCCTGGGATGTAACGTCTAGGTTCTCAAATCCAGCATGACCCGCCCCCTGAGGAGTCCTTCGCCCGAGGTAGAATCCAGCATGGGTTTTGTGAAAATAGACTTTATTATAATAAAATGTCTTTTTAAACAAATACCCCCACCACTCCTCACCCCTGGAGACCAAGGTGGGGGTGGGGTTCAGTCAAACACTCCCACCACAGCGAAGAAAACATGCAGACACTCACCCCGAAGGCGAAGGCGGTGGGATGGATGGTGAGGGGAGGGTGGAGAGCCCCGCCCCCGCCCCGCTCTGAACTGGGAATGTATGAAAATAGCTGCATAAATCTGTCCTTCCCCCAGCCCGCGCTCCAGCAGGGGCCAGAGGAAAACGAAGCAAAAGAGAAATTCAATCTGATGAGCAAAATAAGGCAAACCCAACCCCTGCTTTCTGCCTCTGGCCCCCTGGGTCTCTGGGGTTGGGGGCACACAGGGGCCAGAGGCCGGGCTGGAGGGAGGGGTGGAGCACTCTGGGGGTTAGGCCCGCTTTGGCATGGCCTTTCTCCTTCCCGGGCCTGTGCAATGGATGCGAGATGGAGGAAGCTAGACTGAGGCACTGAGTATGTACATATATACACAGCCTGTGGGGAGGGGCTCGGGACAATCCAGTGCAAACTTTCCTTCAGGGGAGGGAAGACATGATCGGGAGAGCCAGTGCCATCCAAGGGAACAGGCCCCTTTCTCCCCCAGGGTCCCCTGTCCTAGGAGGGGGAAGGCCAGAGAAGGGACTAGCATCCCGTGGTGAGAAACTAGGCAGAGGTGGGTGTACTAAGAGCCAAGAGTCCCGGGTCCAGTCCTGGCTCTGTGACCATGGTGAGTTCCTTCCTCTCTGGGCCTGTTTCCCCTCCTATAAGAGGAAGGTGCCCATTCAGAGGATTCATCCTCAAGGACTCATTTAGCTCTGACCTTCCCCGAGTCTCTGATTCCATTCCAATTGCCACAGTGTTAATTCAGAATAGAAGTCCAGGGCCGTCCTCCCACCCCACCCCCAGGACAGGAACGGGGCGGGGGGGGGGGGGGGGGAGCAAGGGGAGGCGCCTCCGGGGACCACTTCCTTCTGCAGGATGCGCCAGAGCATCACGCCTTCTTCCCAGAGCCCAGTTTCCTGAGGAGCTGCTTCCCCTTGGAGAAGAGGTCCCGCACCTTCTCGCTTGTGCCCTGTGGCGCCCCCAGTTCAATCCTGGGAAGGCTGCCAGGGCCAGGGGCACAGGGCCCACCTGGAGGCCCTGGGGGCACTTGTGTTGAGCCAGCCCAGTCCTGGAATGTGAGAGAAAAGGGACAAGGTTAGGGCCCAACTCCCTGCCCTAATTTGACTCCTTTACCCTACAGCTTCAGGTGCCCAGAACTCCGTGTTGCAGAGGCATGGTCAAGAGCCAGAGCCCACCTGGCCGGTGCGCTCAGTCGTTAGAGCATCGGCCCGTGCACTGGAGGGTTTCGGGTTCGATTCCCAGGAAAGGTCACGTACCTGGGTTGTAGGTTCGGCCCCGGCCCCAATGGGGGCACTTGTGGGAGGCAACCAATCTATGTGTCTCTCTCACATCAATGTTTTTTTCTCTCTCTCTCCCCTCTCCTCCCTCCCTTTCACTCTCTAAAACAAACAAACACAGAGCCCTGCCACCCTGCCTGTCCCACACACAGAGCACAGAGGTGAGTGAGCACAGTGACGCTATGGGAGCACTGAGCTAGGAGTCTGAAGGGACAGAGGCAAAGGCAGTTCTGCTCCTGTTCACCTGGGCCCTGGGCAAGCCCCTCCCTTCTCTGGGTCTCTCTATGGGGTGCTGAGCTGACAGAGCTCAAGAGTCCTTGGACCTGACCCTCAGGAGGAGTTCCCCAATGTCCCCCTTGTCATCCCCTCGCAATGAAGGGAGAGCAAGGACCAGGACCACTAGAGGCAGCTGTCCCCTCCAGGGGGCAAAGGGGCATGCCCTCCAGCCCAGCAGATGTGCTCCCCCAGGGCCTTCGTGGAGGGGAGCCAGTGCCACTCCATGGGGAGGAGATCGGAACTCTTCCTTGAATGGCCCTGAGAGAGCAGCTGGGAGCCTGAAACCAGAGATATTTGGGTGTCACTCAGCCCCCAGCACAAAGGAGGCTGCCCTGGCCCCTCCTTTAGCATCTCTCCCTTGCTGAACCTCCTAGCTCCATGGTCAGCAAACTGCGGCTTGCGAGCCACATGCGGCTCTTTGGCCCCTTGAGTGTGGCTCTTCCTAAGCCTTAGGAGTACCCTAATTAAGTTAATAACAATGCACCTACTTATATAGTTTAAGTTTAAACAATTTAGCTCTCAAATGAAATTTCAATCGTTGTACTGGTGATAATTTGGCTCTGTTGACTAATGAGTTTGCCGACCACTGAAGACGAGTCTCAACTGGGCTGACTGGGCACTTCAAGTCTCTGCCACGTATCTGTTCCATGCCAGCAGGCTGCCTCAGGAAGGTCCTCATGGAGATGACAGAAACACAAGAAAGAGCAAGGCCTCTTGAGTTGTAGACTTAGAAGCACCATACTTGCACTTCTGCTTCATTCTATTACCCAAAGCCAGGCACAGGGTCAAGTCCAGAGACAGAGGCAGAGGACACTTCAAAATTAAATGACCAAGGGGGTGGATGCAGAGCGGGTAAAAGATCGTTCAACCCATCAGCAAGACCTATCAATTCTACCTTAGAAATACTTTCCACACCTGTCCAATACTCCTTCTATCTTATTGCTACCACCACTTCAGTTCACCATGATCTCTCTTACCTATCACCACCTGACTGCTCTGTCCAAATCTTTCTTGCCCATTCCTTCTCGGACCATTCTCAATGCAGCAACGAGAATAAACTTAAAAAGAAAACCTGCTCTCACCACTCATTTAATTAAGTCTGCCAAATGGTTTCCTATTGTTCTCAGGATAAAGGTGAAAATCCTGAGAAAGGCCTGAATTGTTTTCAATTTTCAATTGAGGGGTTATTTTAAAGCAAATAGGTGAACCTGGTGAAAGGGAGAAAGGGAGTGAAGAGGGAGTGTGGGAAAGAGGCCTTGTAATGACTTCCATGTGAGGACAGCCTGGGAGCCCTTTCTCCAACCTCATCTCCTTCCATCCTTTCTTTCACTTTATGGTTGGAACACATCATAATTCTCCAAGTTGTACACTATTTCAAGCCTCTGGGGTCTTACTTGGACTGCTCTGTGTCCAAGTGGAGTTCTTTATCCCTCCTTTTGGTACGGATTCCAAACCCTCTGCCTTTCTCCTTTCCTTCTTCTAGGGAAAAAGAAGAGAGGAGAGGAGCGCAGATTGGTTTGGCTCAGTGGATAGAGCGTTGGCCTGCGGATTGAAGGGCCTGAGGTTCAATTCCAGTCGAGAGAGAGAGAGAGAGAGAGAGAGAGAGAGAGAGAGAGAGAGAGAGAGGCTGAGGGGGAGGAGAGGCCGAGGTGATGTAGCAGGGCCTGCCCACAAAAGAACCCCTGAAAGTGGTCTGCTAGCACCTAGAGGTTACAGCATCTACTGCCAACCAGGCAGGGCTGATGGGTGGCCAGGAGGGAATGGTAGCTGGGGAAATAGAGGGGGGTCTCTAAGTGCCCCCCCAGAGGAGGGGTATGGTTCATCTATGGACTCCACTGTTTAAGCCCCCACCCTTTTGTATTCCCCTCAGCAGTGGAAACTGAGAGTTGGAAGTAAGATCATGCATCTGATCCCCTAACGGGTCATGACGATGAGGATAAGGGTGGGAGACTATTATTACTGGTGGCTTTATAGTGTCATCCTTCTGTCACCAATAATAATCATAATATTATAATACCATTGCATATAGTATCATAATACACTGATGAGTCATAATGTGGATGTCATGTAATATTCTATAAGCCGTATGTTATAGAATATCTGAGGAGTCCGCTGATATGGGGCATCATATACTAAGATGACGTGTTTCTATGACAGCTGGCACTGGCCAAAGGCAATGGGAGGGAATGAGCCTATGACCTCATAGCAAGATCTCCCTCTCTTATTCCCTGGAGGAAAGTGGAAAAGCCAGGTCAGCTCGGGCATGCGAGACAAAGGAGTGCTGTCTGGTTATGGTGATGAGTGAGGGTCACACGGACACAGGGGCCAGCCCCCCACTTACATGTCGCTTTCTCTACATATATCTATCTCCATCTAGCACTGGACTCTTCTCTTCCTCGTTCTCTGAAGAACAGGGAACAAAGAGAGGAGATGGGTTACAGGCAGACCCACGGGTTCGCTCAGTCACCAGGTCGCCAGGTCACAGGGGCCGGCCCTGCTTTGCACTGCCTTTGACCACCTGGGGTTTTCTGGACCTCCTTACCCTCTCCCTGCCCTGTGAGGCTGGAGCTTAACTGTACTCCGCCCACCCCAGGAAGAGGCACGCTCTAAGCGTGAGAACCCAGGAAGCCGCCGGGCTGGGCAACTGGCTTTGAAAGGCTCTGGGGAGACAGGGAGACCCAGCAGGTAGGAGATTCCTGAAACCAGGCTAGAGGTGTGGAGGCACAGGGGTTCTTTTCCACAGGGCCCCTCACCTGTGTCAGCCCTGGGTGTGGGCAGCTGGGCTGGGGATCACCCCTCTGCTGAAGGGACTCCTCTGGCAGAACTCAGCAGCTCCAGCCTGGGCACAGTGCTCATTGGTCGTCACCCTCTGCACCCCTCCCTCCACACTGCCCTGGCCCCACCCCCACACCAGGTCCTCACTGACCTGACTCTCGGCCGGGGGTGTCCCAGGCTCCCTGTGGGAGCTGCCCGCCTCAGGCCCAGGGCCCTCCAAGAAATTGGACGGAACCAGGCCCCTCTGTCCATTTAGTTCCCCCTGGGGAGGAGATACTGGTGAGATTGAGATTAGGAAACAGGCCTCAGCTCCACCCCCTTGACCCGGAAGCCGCCTGAACAGCCTGGGGTCAACATCTCTGTCAGGGGAGGTGGCTTGTCCATTCCCCCAGGCATCCGTCGTGGGGAACCCTTGCTCATCCCCTCCCCAGCTCTGGGAGAGCCCTCTCCCCAGTGCTCTCACATAGTAGAAGCCATCATCGTCCATGCCCCCGAACACAGTAATGATGTCCCCTGCTCGGAAGGGCAGCTCTGCCTGTGGAGAGACCAAGAGACAGGGGTCAGGCCCAGGGAGGCCCTGCCACCTGCCACCCACGTTGGCTGGCCTCTGTCTGAGGGTCCTCACCTCCACATCCATGTTGGGGGAGCTCTCCCGAGGGTTGTAGTCAAACGCAGCCACCATGGAGCGGGGGGCTCTCAGGCTGGCAGAGGAGACCAGCTGGGGGGGGCCTGCCAGGGGAGAGGAGAAGACTCAGGACTCTCTCTAGACTCCCCACCCCACCACCTCTGCACTGGAGGTCTGCTGACCCCCTCTGCACCAACTCCCCCACTCATTGTAGCCTCTGAGCCCAGACCAGAGGGACCGCCCGCCCCAGCCCTTTCCCTGTCTGCCCTACGCAGGCTGGCCCTCACCTGCACCATGCTGCACAGGACCTTCTGACTCAGCTGCAGAGAGAACGTGTGTGTGAGCCCCGCCCCGCACATCCCTGCTCATCCCAAGCAGGGGATGGTTCAGGGCGGGCGGATGCTCAGCCTCACCTCAGGGATGCGGGAGAAGGATGCTCAGAGAGCACATGAGCCCAGCCCTTTGGTGTGGGGCATGAGCTAAGGCCCAGGAAGGGTGAGTGATTTCCTCCAGGTTGCACAGAGTTTACAGTCAGAGGCTTTTTGGGACAGAGGGCCCGGCAAGCCACTCCGGTCCCCTTTAGAATGAAGTAACCTCCTCGAGAAGGGTGGATGGTGTGAAGGTCTGCCCTGATCCCCTTTACCTCCTCAAAACCCCACGTGTGTGTCCCCAGAGAGCCAAGCAGGGACCCCATCCCCACTCATCCCCACGGGCACCAAAGGAGAGGGGGTCTCACCCACCTTTCTTGGAGCGGCGGGGCTTGGGGGGAGGCCCAGTTGTTCGGGCTGTGGAGGACAGAAAGAGATCCAGGAAGGCAAGTGAATGTAAGAGAGAAACTGAGGCAGGGGATAGGACAGTGACTCTGGAGTCTCCTCTTGGGGCCACACCAGGGTCCCTGTGCACACGTCTCTAAAGAGCATTCCTGCCCTAGCTGGCTTCGTGGATAGAGCGTCAGCCTGTGGACTGAAGAGTCCCAGGTTCGATTCCAGTCCAGAGCACATGCCCGGGTTGTGGGCTTGATCCCCAGTGGGAGGCGTGCAGGAGGCAGCCGATCAATGATTCTCTCCCATCATTGATGTTTCTATCTCTCTTTCCCCTCTGAAACCAATAAAAAAATGTTTTTCTAAAAAAGAGCATTCCTCTCCCATCCCTAACCTCCAGGATCCAAAATACAAAGCCCATCCCCTCTGCAGCAGACCCTGCTCCATGTGGCAGCTCGCTGCTGTGGCCACACTGGTCTCCGTCTGTGACGCCCCTGGGGCTGTGCGAGACTCTTGAAAAATGAGGCTTCCCACCTCTCCAGGCACACAAATGCTCCATACTCCAGACATACAAAGCTTGGGGGGCGGGGGGATTGGAACTGGGGTGGGGGCCTTGGCTGAGGCACAGCGGCAGGTCATACCTGAGCCCTCAACGCGACCATGCGGGGACAAATAACCCTGCTGAAACAGCCGCTGACTCCCTGCAGGAGTGTCCACAGCCACCTCAGCCACCATGTTGCAGGGGATGTAGCCCATCCGGCCTCCACCTTCGCCCCGGTAGAAGCCATCAGCATCCTTGTCCCCAAACACCTGGAGGCAAAGACCAGCTGTTTCAGGAGGCCAGTTGAGCTTGCTCCCTGTGCCCAAGGCCCCAGCCCCGCAGCACTACACTTGGAATTGCAGAACGCACTGCCTTTTGTGGCTGTGGAACACGAAATAGGGGGAAAGGGCCAAGAATAAGGATCAGAGAGATGAAAGAAAATAGCCTTTTCTGTATTATCGTCACCCACTACCTGCACATCCATTCCCCTGGCCCTACCTCAAACTAGATCTCCGCAACCTCAGAGCAAGAGCAAAAGCCTTCAATAAATACTTGGAAGCACAATAAAAGTTGTGATGCTGCCCAGCTGATGTGGCTCAGTGGTGGAGCGTCAACCTGTGAACCAGGAGGTCACGGTTCAATTCTCAGTCAGGGCACAGGCCCGGGTTTCGGGCTCTATCCCCAGTGTGGGGGGCATGGGGGTGCAGGAGGCAACCGACCAATGATTCTCATCATTAACATTTCTATCTCTCATCTCCCTTCCTCTCTGAAATCAATATATATATTGTGATGTTAACAGCAGTAGTTATATCGGGCTGTGTGCCAGGCAGTTTAAGTACTCTAAGTGAATTGAATCATTTAAGCCTCAAAGAGCCCTGTGAGGTAGACAGTAACATTATCCCCATTGTACCAATGAGGAAACAGGCCCAGAAGAGTTCATCTATTCAAGGTCACACAGCCAGAAGTGACAACCCCATTGCACGTGGCTCTAAAAGCTGTGTGCTGGCCCATGCATGGGTTCTATCTCCACACAGGAGAGGAGGGAGGGGGGAGGACCCAGACAGTGAGTCACCTTCAGGATCTGGCCTTCCCGGAAGGGGAGCTCCTCTTCCCCAGCATCGGGGTTGGGTGACATTGACACAGGATCGTAGTCAAACAGAGCCACGAAGACCCTGACAGGTAGGTCCTGGTGAGCCAGCACTTCTTCTGGGCGGCTCCTCGGAGGGGCTGTGGCAATTTGGGGAGAGAGAGCAATGATAATGAGCTCTGGCCAAGAGGCTAGGAAAGGCCCCCTCCACCCAGCCCCGCCCCCATCAGGTGCTCACCCAGCTCAGTGGCGTCTGGCCTGGGGGCTCGGGTCCCTCTCCGAAGGGGGCCCCTCTGCCCAGACCTGTCCTGCCCTCTGGGCTCTCCAATCTCCGTTGCCTGCAAAGAGGGGGCAACAGAGGGCAGAAATGTCACACCATCCCTCTGGCGGGCACCTGAACAGGGGCAAGACCCTGCACGTGCTCCCCAGCTCTGCCCCGTCAGCAAAAGCAGCACAGCAGAGCAGGGACACAACATTCCTCTCCTGCAGTCTCGGTCCAACCTCACTGGAGACTTCAGACACCCCCATGGGGGAGGAAGGGCCGGTGGAGAGCCCCAGCTCCAGCCACCCCAGTAGCTGTGTGCAGTGGAGGGGACTAAGGTGAGAGCTTAGAGTTGACCCAGGAGAAATTGAGAGGAGGGCCTCTCCTCAGCGTCAGGGTTGGGTGACGCTGGACATCACAGTCAGTGTCCTAAGGGGAGGAAAGGGCCACCCCGCCCAAAGGCCGGGGGCCGGCTGCCGGCAATTGGTGACTAAATAACAACAGAATGTGGTGCCTCCCAGTTCCGATCAGCAGAAGCAGCAAAGCAGTGGAATGCGGGTGGGAAGACAGATGAGGGAGCCCAGAGGCCCAGCCCCACCTCTGCTGATGAAGGCGGCAGCGTGGAATGGGAGTGGCTGGTGGGCAGCAAGCAGAGCCGCCGGGCGGCAGCAGGCAGGGGGCTGCCGGGGTGGGGAGTGGGCACGGACCCGGGAGGCTGGCTCCTTGGCTCTGCCAGTCGCACTGCAGCCTCTCCGCTCTGGCTCCCCTCTCTCCCAGGCCGGGAGGCATGGGTAGGGGCTGGGGCCTGAATTGGCCTTCCGAGCTCCCCTGGACCTTCCTATGGGCGCCGTGCCCCAGGCCTCCCCGTCTCTGAGGTGGCAGGAGCTGGTGGTGATGCTGACACCCCCGCCGCCTGCCTCCTGCTCATCCTCAGAATCATATTCGATGCTGATTTCCAAGCACTTGGGGGAGAGGCAGCTGGTCAGGATAGATTCTGGCGTCCGGCCATGAGGGTACCTCTGGGAAGGGGCTGGCCGCCCTCTCCCACCAGCCTCTGGTCCACCCCTGGTGCCCTCGCCCACAGGTGGGCCACCCCTCTCCCGTGTGGGGCCGGGTCGTCCAGCAGCCTGGGTCCCGCCGTTGCTGAGAAGGCGGCTGCAGTGTTCGCGGGGATCTGCGGACCGCTTGCGGTTTGGGGGCTTCTCGGTCGAGCCACTTCCTCTCCCCCAGCTGCTTCCACTAACTAGTCCTGCCATGTCCTCCAGGTGGTCCCCGGCACTGCAGGGCTCAGGAGACAAGGGACATGGTCCAGGTCTTTGAGGACGACTGCTGTCACTGCCCAGCTCCAGCAATGCAGGCTCCCGCGGGCTGCGGTCCTGGGAAGAAGAGCCTGCCCCAGGCTGCTCCTGCTCCTGCTCCTCCTCCTCCTCCTCCTCCTCCTCCTCCTCCTCCTCCTCCGGGATGCTAAAAAGCTTCTTGCTGCAGAACTGCTGGAGGGGCAGCTCCAGGATCTGCTCCAAGATCTCCTCGTCACTGTCAGTCTCAGAGAAGGGCTCAGGCTGGGGCTGGGGCTGGGGCTGGGGCTGGGGCTGGGGGATGGGGAGGGTGAAATGGGGGAGGAGGGCAGCAGGGAAGAGAGGTCCATGGGAAAAAAGAAAGAGCTGTGACCTTTGCCCTCAGATGAGAGCAGGGGTTACAGGTAACCTCAAGGCCTCCCTTAGCTTCCTCCAAGAGGAAGGACCAGAGGGGGGGAGGGGGGTGGCCCAAAGTCACATGGTGTGTCCAGGACAGAGCCAGAGACAGAATGAGGGATCACACCCAGGATATGGCTGCCCAGATGCTCAGGGCCCTGAGTGACAGGAGCAGGCCGTGCCTGTAATAGCAGAGAGGACTCCCCACTCCTTCCCCAGTAGCTCCCAACACAGGGATCTCAGATGGCCAGGGTGCTGCATCTGGTGGGCTGAAGCCAGAGAAGGTGCCGCAAAGAGCTCCTCATCCTCCCCTTTCTTCCCTGGAGGGCAGAGGTCAATCCTGAGCCACTTCCTGTCTGGGGCTCAGGACAGGGCCCAGGCCACACACCTAGAATGTTGCTGGCACTCACTGGTGGCTGGAGCAGCTGCTGACACATGGGGTAGAGACCCCTGGAACCCCAGGTCTAGGGCCCACCAGCCCCTCCTCACCCCATTACCTTGGGCCCATTCTCCCTGACACTGATGCCAGCAACCTGCTTCTGGAAAGAGCAAGCCCTGGAACCCAGCGCCTCTTCCTCCTCTTCTTCCTCCTCCTCTTGGATGTCTGACAGATCTGAGTTTCGGCCATGGTCCCCAAGGGAGTTTACCAGACGCACCCCGAGCTCTGCCATGTCCTCCTTCTGCAAGAGGTGAGACAAAGGAGGTGGTGGTGGTGGGGGGAGGGCAGAGAAGGACTCGGGGTGGGGCACCCTGGCAGGGTCAGCCCCTGCCAGGATGAGGCCAGAATGAAAGGAACCCCTTGGCAGAGGGAGAGGGTCGTGTCCCAAATGGGGGTACACACAGCGAGGGGGTGGAGGAGAAATCTGGGAAGATACAGTGGCAAAGGAATAGACAGATACGCAGCACAGACCAGAGCACGGAACCAGCAGAGAGGGCCAAGCTTTGGCTGACAGGAGGCAAGGAGGCAGGCCCGATTCTTTGAGGTGGCACAGTATGTCCCTAACCCCGTACCTCAGCCCTGGGCCTCAGCCCAGCCCCCGTGTCTCCTCCAAGGCTGGCCTCAGCACAGAGCACCTCCGGGGCCGGTGCCCCCTCCGTGGAGCAGGGTGCCAGGCAGGCCTCTCCCGCGGTCCCCTCAGCCTCGTCCTGGGCCAATGAGGACGCTGCAGGGCCGGGAGCTCCCTCCCCCACGGCTGGCTCTCTGGCCCTCCTGTCATCTGAGGTGCCCAGCACAGCTGCCCCGGCCTCCTCCTGGAATGGAAGGCACTGAGGAAGGGCGCAAGCCCCGGCCCTTCTCCCAGCCTCCACCTGCGCCCCCTGCCCAGTAGGGTACCTGGGAGCAAGGTGCTGTGGGCTCCTCTTGGGATCCTCTTGTCTCTCTGGGAGGGCTTGCTGCTGGAACTCCATGGGGCTCTCTAGTTCCATGGGGCTCGGGGCATCGGAGGGGAGAGCTGGGGTCTCCGGGAGCTGGAGAGGCTGGAGCAAGGGGCGGCCTGGCCTCTGAGCCTGGCCGTGGTGAGGGGCAGGAGACCCTGGCCGGCAGGCAGGCCGCAGCCAGGGCCGGGCCCACGGGAGCTGGGAGGGAGTCGGCCGACTCGCCATGGGGCGACATGGTGCGCACGGCCACCTCACTGCACACCTGCAGCAGCTGCAGCTGGGACAACTCCACCAGCACGCTGCCCGCTGTGGGCGAGGCCACCTCCATGATCTGCAGGGTGGAGGGAACACAGGATGGGAAAGGGAAGCTGGGATGACCAAGTGTGAGGACACAACGACCGCGGTGACTCGCACTGGCCAGGCGCCGTGCTGAGCCCTTGCCCTGCCTGTCTCATTTGATCCGCCTGCCACAGGGCTTCAGTGCTAGGACGGTGTTTTGAATCCCAGTTACCGAAGCCCATGCTCTTAACTAATCTGCTACCTAGCGCCCAAATGCCAGGGGCTGGGCATCGCTGTGCCAGGCTGGGGAGACTAGGCCTCAGAGCATGGCAAGGGTACAGATGGACAGAGTCGCCAGGCCGTACCTTCTGCCCATCGGCATAAATGGCATAGCCTGTGACGCGGACGCCATTGGAGGTCCCAGCAGCATCTATGGTTACGGGGAGCCAGCTGATGATCAAGATTCCAGGAGAGGGCCCCGGCTCAATCTGCACATCCAGGGGGGCATCGGGTGGGCCTGGGGGGAAGGGACACAGACCCAGTAATGCAGGACACTCACCCCTGAAGATACCGCCCACTTTGCCACTTCCCTGGAAATGCTAATAACAGTAGTCTCTCTTTCCTCTACCCCCAGGGCCTGTCCTGCTGGGTGTTACAGACAGTCAATGCCCAAGCTTGCAGACCTGCTGGGAGTGTCGTGAACTGCAGGGTGGCAGTCCGCTGCTCCGGCCTCTCCCAGCCTGGTTCCCAGGATCCGCCAGGTAGGAGCTGAGCCTCCACGCGGGCCTGATAGAGTGTGCCAGGCCGCAGGTTGCAGAAGGTGGTCCAGTAGGTGCTGGGGCGGGCAGGGGGGCATTCTTCCCCGTTGAGGTAGATGGCATGAGCCAAGTTGCTATTGCCGGGCACCCAGGTGATCTCAGCAGAAGTGGCTGTCAGTCGATGGACGCGTAGCTGGGTAGGTACCACCCCGGCCCTGGCACCCATGGCCAAGCAACAGCGCAGAGGGTCAGAGCTGCCCCGGCTGGTCAGGGCCTGCACGGAAACACGGAGCGGCCCGGCCCGCAGGTCCAGGTTTTCAAGCACAGCCTTGGGGGGCGCCCCAGGTCCCAGGGCCTGACGCAGCTCCCCGTTCACGCAGATCTGGTAGCCACGCAGCTCCCCTCGCTCAGGAGGCGGCTCCCAGGCCAGCACCACGCTGTGGGCCAGCTGCTTGAGGACGGCCAGGTGGCGGGGGTAAGGCACAGCACGGGGCTCGCCCAGGCCTTCGGGTGAGGGGCTCAGACTGAGCTCATCCCCTGCAGTCTCCTCCTCTGATCTGGGCTGGCTGCGTCCCCCGACACTCTGGCCCCCGCTACTGCTGCCGCCTCCACCACCGCTCAGGAAACTAAGTTCAGGGCCTGAACTGTGGGACAAATCGGCCAGCTCCGAAGCGAGGGAGGTCAGGAGGTCGTCGTCCGACACGCGCTCTACAAAATTGGAAGGAACCAGGCCCCTTCGGCCATCCATGAGCTCTCCTGGCGACGGGAGGGCAGGGAAGGGAAAGGCAGAGAGGAGGTAGAGAAAAACCAGTCCAATGAGTGCATTTTAGCAAAGGTCAGTGGGTGATCTTAAGCATCTGATTCAAATCAAGGTTTGCCTGTCAGTACTTTTAAAAGACAAGAGCAGTCAAGACCTAGATTAGGGAGTTACTGTTCGTTTTCGTAAGTGTGATCACAGTATTGCGGCTATGCGGCACAGGGCTCCTTATTTGTAATGTGCGCGTGAATCACCTGGAGGTTTGTTGAACTGCAGATTCTAATTCTGTTAGGTCTGGGTGAAGCTGAGATGGTGCGTTTCTATCTAGTCCGGAGGTGACACTGATGCTACAAGGATGTAGGCGGATGTCCGTGCTCTGAGGAGGTGCGTGTTGAAGTATGTTCCGGATGGGATTAGAAGCAGGCCCGGGACCGGGAGCATGACTGGCGGTCAGTCTAGGCCAGGGGTGGGCAAACTTTTTGACTCGAGGGCCACAATGGGCTCTTAAAACGGGACCGGAGGGCCGGAACAAAAGCATGGATGGAGTGTTTGTGTGAACTAATATAAATTCAAAGTAAACGTCATTACATAAAAGGGTACGGTCTTTTTTTTCAATAGTTTTATTCATTTCAAACGGGCCGGATCCGGCCCGCGGGCCGTAGTTTGCCCACGGCTGGTCTAGGCAGCCACCAAAGGTCAGTTCTGTCACCTGTGCCAGCTCCCCTGAACACTCGACCACCAAGTATTGTAACATGTGCTGTTGTTTATTTGAGGGACGTCAAGGAAGGAAGAAATTGGGCACACAGCATGTCATGTCAAGCTAATCTGAGAGAAGGAGAAATCCCCAGGCCCTGTTCCCCAGTCTCAGTAATGGGACATCTGCCTCAGTTGCCTGGTCTGCTCCGTGGAGAACTGCTCTGAAGCCCACCCCCCTGCCTGGGCCCTGACACCTGCTAACTACCTGCTAACACCCTTTCCCGGGCTCTGGACCCTGATTCCTCCTCCCTACACCCAGCTGGAGTCCAGCATCAGATCTGTGCTGCCTGTCTGATCTCGATGTCGCTGGTGTTAAACACTGCCATGCGCTGTCTGCCAGCACAAAAGTGAATTCAGTCAAAATCCCGTGTCACTGTCTGTCATCTGCACTGTGCGAGGCCTTGCCCTGACCTGCAGTCACACCAGCTGCCCCCTTTCCCAATACCCTTCCTTCCCCTTTCCCCACAGGCTGTCAGGTCTCTGCTGCCTTGTAGGTGAGTCTGAAAAGTGATGGTGGGCCAAGCCGAGCATGCTGGGGAGAGGGTACGGATGGGTGGAGGTCTTTGGGAAGAAGAGCTTAAAAGCAGAGGAATGGACAGAAGGACCCCACCACCTTCCTACCTTCAAAAAAGCCATCCTCATCCATGTTGCCATAGATGTAGATATACTCGCCAGCAATAAGCGGAAGTTCTGCCTCTGGATTCTCATTGGGGCCCTCGAAGGGGTTGTAGCTGTTGGAAGAGGCACGGAGGAGGAAGAGGAGGAGGAAGAGGAGAAGGAGGAGGAGGAGGAGGAGGAGGAGGAGGAGGAGGAGGAGGAGGAGGAGGACTGTGACCTACATCCTACCTCCATGTCTCATTTCCTCTCCCCACTGCCCCAGGCCCTTATGGAGACTTGGTTGTCCACCTTTAGCCAAAGAGATTGCTCACTGCACCCACCTTGGCCCAACTAGGTTAAGAGCACATGTTCAACTGGGATCCCTACACCAACCCCATCTTCCCCAGATGCCTCTGTCTTCTCCAGGCCCCTTCCTCCCGCCCACCCCACATGCTGGGGGGATAGGGAGCAGGGTGAGAGGCCCACCTATAGCGTGCTAGGAAGACCTGGATCCTGGCTCCTCCCCGGCTGCCCTCTGGCGCTGCTGGGAGCAGGGAGACGGTGTCTGCCTCCAGCTCCTCCACCTCACTAGCTGTGTCCACCTGGGGGGAAACAGAAAGGGCCAGTCCTCGCCATGACCCAGGGCCAATGGCCAAGCAAGCATGTTTCCAGGCAGAGCCAGAGGAGGACCTCTGAGAAGGGAAAAGGAGTACAAGGCCCATAGCAATGAGCCCCGCTGTTTTCTAAATCCACTCCTGAGCCAGCAGATCCTAGCAAAGCCCAGCTGCTGCAGAGAGAGGGAGTGGGGACGACCTGGGTCCCTCCTGGAGCCCTGACTTCTACTGCACCAGCCCAGGAAACGACCACTTTCCCCATCGGAGAGGGGGCCGGCCACACTGGCATGGGTGGGTGTCCAATGGCAGTTGTCTCAAGGTAAAAACACAGCAAAGCACTCGAACTATGAACAGGTGAAGGCAAGGAGGCAGAAGGACAAAGAAGTCCCTTTGTCCCTTTGTGAGAAGTGCACTGAGCACTGGGCATCCATATCCAGCACCACCACTCTGTCCCACAAGGGGGCAGTAGAGGGCCGGGGCTGGGTTCTACCTCTTCCCACAACCTGGGGCAGCAGGGCGGCTCCAGCCCGCCCCTCCACTTTCTGGAGTTTGGGAGGTAGGAGGTGATTGGAAGAGTTGGGAGTGATGCCCAAGAACTCGGTGATAATAATACTGTAGCTGCCACATTGAAGTATTTAGTGTGTGCTCTGCACTGAGGGAGGCACTCTCCTTATATTTTTTTTCATTTAATCCTCACAACAAACTTACAAGGCAGGTTTTATTAGCTCCAAAGTCCAAACAAGGAAACCAAATCCCAGAAAGGGTCTTGCTAAGACAACACTGGGATCGGAATTGCGGAACCTGTGCTCTTTCTCACACGCCCATCGCTTCTGCTGCAGCCACTCTCATGAACAGTCTCATTATGTGGATCCTGGCGCCAGGGTACCTCCCTCCAGCCAACCCAGGACTTCTCTAGGGCTTCCCTGAGCCCCAGAGGGGTGGGGCTGGGTGGCTCAAGGTAGGGCCTTCAGGGTGGCCCTGGAGACCAAGATGGCTCCTCCTTGAGTTCCCTGCGGACCAGGAGGAATCTACGGGCCCTTCTCTCCCAGGGCCTGGCTCCACTTCCCAACGTGGAACCCCCCATAGGCCAGAGGTCACCCAACTCCTGGGGACCCCACAGAGGTCAGGGCCACCTCCCCTCCCACTTTGCCGAGGCAGAGCCAGAACCCAGGCCCCTCCCCAGCACTGACCTCAGGCGTAGGGCATGACTTTGGGCTGTTGTGGATGGACTCAGAGTGAGAGGAGTTGGAGAGAGACTCTGCCTTCTTGGCTGTCCTTCGAGGGACCCCGGGAAGGGGGGCAGGGGCAGGCTCAGAAGACTTTGGGGTGCAGCGTCCTGGGGAGCCCGGCGGGAGGTCAGAATCTAAAGAAAAGATGGCACATGGGTGGGTGTGGGGTCTGTGGCCTGAAGAGGGACCAGGGACCAAAGTCCAGCTGCTTGGATCATGGGGGTCAGGCCCGCCATAGCTGGGTTTCCTTACAAGAAGGGAAATATTTGGGAAAACTTACTGAGTAGAGGTAGAGGAACTTTACATATATTATTTCACATGATCCTCAGAGCAGCTTGATGAGGTGCACCGAGTTTTTCTTTTATTATAACTTAGGAAACCAGGGGCCCAGCGGTTTAGCAGCAAGCTCAAAATTCCATAGACTATTGAGTGAACAGAGTTGGGACCCTCAGGTCTGATGCCCAACTCCTTACAAGCCCACACTGCCTGCCATCGAGTTCTAGAGCCCAACTCCCGACCACGAACACAGAGGTCTTATTGGAGGGAAGGAGCAGTGGCCTGAGACACCTGGGCCAGACTCGGGGACAGCCACTCCAGATCTGGCTCTAACTTGCTGTGTGACTTCGGGTGAATTGCTAGCCTTCTCTGACCCTGAACTTTCTGCTCTATACAAATCCCCAAGCCTGGGGATTCCAGGCTCATGGCACTGGGAGTCTACCTTACCTTTGGGGCCGGATCCCCGGCAGGGCTGGGGGTTGGAGCAGCAGCAGGGGGGTGGTGGGCGATCCCCAAGGGTACTGCAGCCCAAGGCTGAGGTGAGCAGATCCAAGGGGCCAGGGTGCAGGCGGAAGGCCTGGAGTTCCTGTGCCAAGAGGCTGAAGCGTTCTGTTTGGCTGCGGCACTGCTCCTCGAGCTCTCGAACCCGGACCTGAGCCAAGACCCACCATGAGCCACCAGGCCCAGCAAAGCTGCCCAGTCCCAACCTGTGCCATCTCCACATAGCCGCACACAGGCTTCAGACCACATCGCCCAGCCCCTAGGCCTGGGTACCAATCCTGGGCCTGGCTGCCCCATTGCCCTTAGTAGTGTCTAAGCCAGCCGTGGGCAAACTACGGCCCACGGGCCGGATGCGGCCCGTTTGAAATGAATAAGACTATTGAAATAAAAGACTGTACCCTTTTATGTAATGATGTTTACTTTGAATTTATATTAGTTCACACAAACACTCCATCCATGCTTTTGTTCCGGCCCTCCGGTCCAGTTTAAGAACCCATTGTGGCCCTTGAGTCAAAAAGTTTGCCCACCCCTGGTCTAAGCTAAGGGTAAAGTGCTGGAGCTGTGGGGCATCACATGACTCTCCTCCAGAGAAGAGCTGGGCCAGCTTCACACTCAGCACACCCTCTCGCCCCAGGCAGTGGCACTTCCTGCTTCTGGCTGCTTTCTAGGCCAAAAGGAATGGCTCCCATCCCATCACTACCACCAATATCAGCTCAGGAGTTTTCTTGGCTCCGCTGCTTGTCACCCTCCCACAGTCAGTGACCCAAATCCCTGCCTTCAGAGAGGTCCCTAGAGAGACCACACACGGGAGCTAGGGACATCTTGTGACAAGAACGAGCCAATTCTCAAGACCTCTTCGTCAGGTATTCTGAGAGTCACAACCTAAGGGGCCCTCCCCTGGCCAATGTCAAGAGGATCATGGGTTAGGCTGATGATGAACTTGCTCATGGGCTCAGCGGCTGGGCTTTAGAGGAGGGAAGGCCCCATGTCTGCCAGGTGTAGTAGCAGGTCTGGGACAAGGAGATGGCCCACATGTCCTGTGGGAACCCCAGCCCATCTACAGGCTCTCAGGTCTGCTCCGGTCACTCTTTGCTCTGTTGGATATGAGAGTTGGGACCACTTGGGCCTGAGGGAGGAGACGCAGCTCAGTGGGCCAGGGAGGTGGGAGACTGGGAGGCTGTACCTGCATGGAATCCAGGGTAGACTGTGGCAGGAAAGAAAGCACAGAGGAGAGATTAGATCCTGAGACGGTGTGTCATCACCCAGAGAGGGAGAGGGAGAGACAGGGGCCCAAGTGGACACCCTCTGGCCAGCTCCCTGGACTGACTGAGCAGTTCCTAAATTGAAGGCTATTTCAAGGTGAAGGCATCCTCTGGGAGGGGTAGGGGGAGGGGGCGGTAATGAGACTCCTGCCACCAGACCCTGCCTGGCTGTGCCCTAGCCTGAGAAACAGGCCAATGGTGGAGGGGATTCTCCAGGCACTAGAGTATTTAAGGGCCCTTCCTGCAACCCCACACCCCACACAGTCCACTCCAGCTCTCTCTGAACTTCCCCTGCCTCCCCCCAAGCTGGTGTTGCTGGTGGCTACCTCCAGGGACTTACCTCCAGCAGCTGCACGGCCCCTTCATGTTCCCTCTTAGCTTCTGCCTGGGCCTACAGGTGGGAGGAGGCAAAATGCTGGAGGGGAAGGACGAGGAATGGGGGTGGGATAGAGGGAGATGGAAGGGAGGGTAGGGAGGGCAGATGGAGGGCAGAAAAAAGGGGAAGGAGAGGGAGAGGCAGAAGGAAGAGGGGCTGAGGGTTCCTCCCTTCCAGACTCCTACCCCTGAGCCATACCTTAGGCCAGAAGGCAATCGGGTCAAGGAGAGGTGGGCCTGATGCTGTCTCTCTCTTTCCGGGGCATCCACCCTCCAGTTTCCCTCCTATCTCTCTGGGAGCTCCTTCTCAGTCTCTTTCTCCTGGTCCCCTTTTGAATGTTGGGGTGCTACTGAGCCCACTTTATACTCTTTACTCTCTCCCAAGAGGCCCTTCTAGTCAGATGACTAAACACACTAATGACCCCAAAACTACCTTCAAGATCAATTTCCCCATGACTCCAAACTCATTGATCCAACTGTCTATGAGCATCTCCACTTGAATGTGTCACACACAACCCAAACGGCCAAGACAGAACTCGGAACTCAGGACTCCCTGCCTCTCAGGTCCTGAGGAGTGAAAGCCCCACCCTTTATCAGGGTTTACTCAGCAAATGGGTAACGGAGTGGGTATTGTCATTTTACGACTGGAATCCATGGAGTCTTGTCGATTCTATCTCAAAATACACTTCAAATGCATCCACTTGTTTCCACCTTCACTGCCTGTTCCCTAGTCTAGATGGCCACCACCTCCCACCTGGACCCCTGCAACAGCCCCAACACCTGATGGCCCCGCTCCATGCCCACTCCCCCAGCCCATCTTCCACGGCGCTGCCAATGTCACCCTCTAAAATGATGAAGTCAGATCATGCTGCTCCCTATTGGGGACCTTTCAATAGCTTCTAACCACTCAGAGAGCAAAATATCCAAACTCCTTCAACAGCCTTTAATGCTCAAGGTGATCTGGCTCCTGCCTGCCCCTGCTGTTCTTCCCTCCAACTACGTTCCAGCCACTCTGGTCTGGATCCCAACCTCTTTCCCACAACAGGGCATTGGCACTTCTGGTCCCCTACCTGGAATGCTTTTCAGCTGGCTCCTTCGTGACCTGGAGGTATTAAAACCTCCCCTGCTGACCTAAAGTGGTCCCTCAGTCACTCGGTCACATAACCCTATCCACCTCCCCCACTGGGATCATCTCAATCACAGATCAGCTTATTTGCTGATTGGTCAGGGACATGGTCTTTGCCCACTGTCCCCCAGCACCTGGCACATAGTGGGTGCTCACTAAATGCTTGTTGGATGAGTGGATGACTAGGCTGAGGTCCAGCAGCCTCCCACTCTTCCAGCACTCCTGCCCCCTCGACACCCTGTCCCCACCTGCTGCAGCCTCCGGACCTCCTCCTGCTTCTCCTGAAGGCTGAGCTGAGCCTGCTCATGCTCCACCTCCAGCTGCTGCCGCCGCTGGGCCACCTCCCGCATGTGCTGGAATACAAGACCCTGTGTCAAGGCCAGAGACCCACCACCATTTCTGTAAAGATCTAAGATGAGGGGGGCTCAGATAACATGTGTTCCAGACACCCTCTAAGGCTACAAAAGGAAAGGGGCTCACGGCTCCAAGACTCGGCCTCAGACCCCAGTGCCCCACAAAGGGCGTATTCTACTGTCCCACTGTTCTCTCTGTGCCAGGTACCAATACCCTCCCCTCCGCCCCCACCAACACAGCCTTCTCACCTTCAGCACCTGCTCCAGGCTCTCCAGCTTGCTCTGCAGGCCCTGGCTCTTGCGAAGGGCCAAGTCCCTCTCCTGTGTCACCCCCAGGAGCTGGTCCCTCAGCTCTGCATTCTCCCACTCCACCTGGAGAGGGGGGAGTGGCAGGGAGCTGGGTGTGTGTGTGAGCCTTGTCCCACCAGCTCCTTCACCGGGGAGAACCGTACCCTTCCTACTCCAGCCCCGTTCCAGGTGTGGAGGAGACAGCCCCTTGCCAGGGACCAGGGCCCTCGCAGGATCCCAAGCCACACAGCACCTGTGTGGAGTGGCTACCTGGTCCTTCTCCGTGGCTCTCCCACTGAGCCGGGAGTTCTCATCCACGAGGCGGGCATTCTCATTCTGGGCTTCTCTCAGCTGCAATTCCTGAGAGACCAGAGGAGCTCTGGGGAGGGAGCCTGGCACCCACATTCCTCCCCTCTCCACACAGAGGACCATGCCCTCCCAGTCCGGGCCTTCCTCCCCCACCTGGAGCCTGCATCAGCCAGGAAAGGAGCCCTGGCAGCACAGGGAAAGTGTGCTCCTCGGGGCAAGAAGGATAAAAGCGGAGCGGAGAGGGAGCCGCCACCTGGCTGGCCTGGGGGACGGGGAGCTGGCCTCTGGGAGGCGCTCCAAGCTCACCAGCTCCTCACATCGCCTCTGCTTTTTTCGGGCTTCCAGCTCCAGGCTCTGGCATTTCTTCCGCTTCTTGCTAAGCTCTGACTCCTGAGGGGTCAGAACCGAGGGCTCCTCATGTGGGAAGGCAGAGCTGCCCACAACAGGCCTCCTCCAGCCCTTGCCCTGGGACTTACCAGCTGCTGCACCCTCTGTTGTTTCTCTGGCTCCTCTAGGACCACGGGTGGGGTTTCCACATCCTCCTGGGGAGTAGCCTGGAAATGCCCAGGGGCACGGGACTGGCACCTGAGAACAGGGCCCCAAGGCAGCCTGCTCCCAGCCCAGCCTGTCCGTGGGAGGTTCCCACCTCACCTCACAGTCAGCCAAGAGATCCCTGTCCAGGAAGTGGGGGGGGGGGGGGTGCTCTCTCCCCACCCAACCCATCATCTCCACCTGATGTGGAACTGCAGAGGCTGCACCTCTGAGTTCTCCAGACATTGTGCTTTGAGATCCCGAGGCCCATGTGTGGCCTGGGAGATGGGTCCCTTATCCAGGCCAAAGCTTTCCCTTTTTAGCTCCTTCCAGCAGCAGCCCTGCTCTGCACTCAATAACTGCCCTGGTGTCCTTCCATGACTGGCAGAGAACTAGGCGGCCACCTGGGTCCCCGGGGATGTGGTGTTCCCAGAGTTAGGGGTTCTGGACAATCCAAATCTCAGCAATGCAAAACCTGGCCAGGCCCTCCTAAGGCTTCCCCCCAAGCCCACCCTGTGGCACCCCCCATTTATCTGTGCAAACTCTAGAGAAGGACAGGTCTTGATGGATGCATCTCCCTCCCTGCGCCAGGCAGAGGGGCAAAATCTAGCAAGAACCGCCCCACACTCCGAGGCTTGGATCGCTATGGAGTCGCTTCTCCCACCCCTCTTCCCAGAAGGAGGTGGACCTAAGTGCTACCCAAGGAGAGAGGATGGAGAGGAGCCAGACTTCCAATTCTGGGGGCCCTGGGTGGGGTCCCTCGCCTTCGCAACAGGGGCTAAGCCCCGCGCCCAGTGAGGGTCGCCCATACCTGGAGCCGGGGCGGACGCTGCCCCGAGTAACGGGGGCGGGCCTGGCGGACCAGGCGGGCGCTGAAGGGGGCGTCCCCGCGCAGCAGCGGCGGCGGGAGGCGGCGCGCAGACTCAGCCCCGGGCGGCTGCCAGGGCAACCAGGGATTTGCGGCCAGGCCGTACCACTGGCGGCGCGGCGGGGGCGGCGGGGCGGCGGCGCGGCGGGGCGGGGCGCCGGCCTGCGGAGGGCGGACCACGAACTCCCGGGGGTGGGCACAGGTACGAGTGCTGGGAGGCTGGACCGGGACCCTACCGCTGGGTGTCGGGAAAGGTCCCCCAGCCCTTGGGGTGCGCACGCCACCACCGGATCCTCGGGGCTCTGAGCGCGTTTTAGGAGGAGATCCCGGGGCCCCCCACCCTCCATCTACACACACCTGCCGGGGTGCCGGCGCTCACCTGTCCCGGGGCCCTGGGGGTGGGCGCTCCTGCTTTGACCCGGACAGTGGGGCCCGGGGGCCGGAGCGGCGGGGACGGCTCCTGCTGGTTGCGCAGGGCGATCTGCCTCTGCAGCCGCAGCACCTCCCGCTGGGACTCGCGAAGCAGTCGGTCGAAGTCCCTCAAGTGGAGCCACTGGGGGCCCTCCTGGGTTGGGGCACAGGGAGGGGAGTTTGGCCTAAACCCCTGCCCACCTCCTCCCCCAACTTGTCCCCTTGCTAGAGGGGCTCTGATGCGCGGGAACGTGCACATCCTTCCATGCATACGAGTACATGCCTTGGTCATAGGTGCGTGCGAATAGCATTTGCTAGCCCGCGTGCATACAGTGACTCATCTACTGGACACTCGCCGTGTGCCCGGCACTGTGCTAAATGCCTTGTGAACATCACTTGACGCAAGTGTTAGACATGTGTGGATTCATACAGCCAAACCCACTGGCACACAGCCTGAAGCCTGGAGCACAGAAACACCCAGGTCTGGGACTCATGGCTCCGCCCCCTTCAGTTCAGGCTTCTCCCCGCTCCCACCTGGGCCGTTGCCAGGGGAACCTACTCCCCAGCAGCCTCCACCTTCCCGCTTCATTTGCATCTCATTAACATCTCGGTCCACATCCCAACAAGCCAGGCAGGTGGCTCTGGGTAGGACTGAACTGGATGGGGTGACCAGGGCCTCCTCGCACCTTGCCCGCCAGGGTGAGCCTGGCCTGCAGCTCCCTGCACTCCCGCTGCAAAGCAGCAATCTGCTTGTCCTTGGCCAGCAGGGCGCTGGCTGTCTCACTGAGGTCCCGGGTTCGCTGGCGGGCCAGGGCCTTTCGGCACAGCTCCAAACTGGGCCCTGGACGGGGCACAGGGGCACTCACCTGGCCAGAGGAGGGGTAAGGCCAATGGTCATCTGAGGGCTGGGGCACTTCTCCCACTTCTCAGCTCCTCCCAAAGGAGGGGTTAGGTTGAAAACCTACAAGTGTGGCCTCTTGCTTTTACCCTGTGTCTGGGGCGTCAGGGGACCCACAGCCTCATTTGACCCCCGCAATCCTCAAGCAGGACTGACAGAGTTAACCTCACATCCTAGTTTCAGCTCAAAGGATGCTGCTAATTTAGGGCTGCCACTGTGATGGGTCTTCATCCCTGCCCCCGCAGGCTCTGCACCCAGAGATGAGCTCAGCAGGAGGCTGTAGCCAGCACCAGCACGTGGTAATCCAGAATCCTGCTCCCTGCCTGCTCAGGGACTCCCCGCCCAGCCCTTCCCTCCCTCCTGTAGCTCCAGAAAGCCTCAGCCTCCTAGCCTGGCCAGCATTTGCCCTTCCTACACTTTGGCCCCCCGAGTTCCTGCTTTCCTGGGTGTTAAGAGTCCACGACTCCTAAACCCCACCCCTCAGGCCCAGCCCTGACTTCCCTCTTCCCTGGTCACACAGCCTTCATCTTGCAGCCCCCGGCCTCCCATCCTCACCACCTTCAGGTTAGTCTCCTGCAGCTTCCGGGCCCTCTCCTCCAGGCGCTTGGCAATGACCGCCAGCTCGGCGTTCTTTCGCTTCAGCCTCCGCACCTTCTCCTCCGTCTCTGGAAAGCTGCTCCTCCTCTGACAAGGGGTCAGCCAGGATAAGGCATGTGGGAAGCACCCCGCTGACCCAATCCTGACTGCCCGGGCCTTGGGCTAGAGCCCTGGGCTCGCAGTGGAGTCCTCAGCAACTCTAGATAAGGGCTCACCCTCTCTGGGTCAGGGCTCATGTCACCGCCATGTGGCCCCCACTGCGGGAGGTATATACGGGGTGAGGAGGACACTGAGGCAGAGGGGCAGAGTGTCTGAGTCTGCCTTCCCCCAGCTCCAGCCAGGACCCAGGACTCACCAGCCTCTGGTTTTCCTCCTTGAGGATGGCACAGTGCTGCCGCAGCTCCCTCAGGGCCCTCAGCAACTCCAGGCTGGGCCTATCCCCGAAGCCCATGCTCAGCTTGCCCTGGCACAGGAAAGGCAGGGCACAGGGCCTCAGGAACCCACCCGACCTAGTCAGCGAGCGCTCTCCCACCATGGCCCCCGGAGACACGCAGACAGGAAGGCTCTTCCCCACATCCCAGGCTTTCAGAGTCGGCTCAGGAGGTCCAGGAGAAAGGGCTATCTAGTCCTCCTTGCCTGCGCGGGCACCCCTGATCCTGGGACCCTCTCTGGTAGTCCCCAATTCTTCCCATCCCTGCTCACCTCCTCCTGGGAAATGCCAGCCCAAGTTCCCATGCCCACCACTCCAGGCTCCATGGTCCCTGGGTCCCCTCCCCCAAAGTCCACTCCCTCCATCTCACACCCACCCCAAACCTTGTCCTCCCTGGCTCAGCTCAACACTGAGCCCCCTCCCCTAAATCTGCTTTCTCTGCACTCTGATTCCATCATAGAGCTCCAGGTACCCCAGTAACCTCCAGCCCCCAAGAACAGAGACTCAGGGAGGAGGAGACACAGACAGACAGACAGACAGACTGTCTGAGAGAGAGTAACAGAGAGAGAGGGGGTAGGGGCACGGCCAAATGTAGACAGATAGACAGAGAATCAGAAGGACAGACAGATGGCAAGAAATGGAGCCACTAAGATTCCTGTCCAAAGAAGGGAGGACAGATAGTCACAGAATTGGAAACCACAGATGGAGACAGACCAGGAGAGGAGAGGTGGGCAGCGGGGTTGCATATCATGCCCATGAGGAGAGGCCCCCACCTCTCAGACCAAGCCCTCCACCGCTCCCTTACCTCATGGAAAGCCTCCACCTCCTCGTCCTCCAGCCTTGGGCAGCTGGGTCCGGAGCTCGCTGCTTGCTGCCCCAAGCTGGGCAGCCCGGTTTCTGTTCCTTCAGGGTCAATGTCCCCCACAGGCCCAGGGCTCCAGGCTCCCTTGGGCTCAGAGCTCTCCAAAGGCCTCAGTTCTCCAACCTGCAGAGCTGCCGGAGTATCGACAGTGCTTGGGGCTGCACCTCCAGGTTCGCCCTCCTGTCCTGGAATCCAGCTCTGCCAGGCAGGCTGTGCCCATGGCTCCATAGCTCTGGGGTCCCCCAGCCGTAGGAGGGGTGTCAGTTGCTCCATGGTACTGCCAAGGGGCCCCAGGACTCGGGCTGGGGGACATCACCCAGCCAAGTGGAAGGGCTGGCAAGGGTCATGCCAGACCAAACCCTTTCCTCTCTGAGCAATTGGCTTTACCGGGGCTCCATCCGAGGTTGACCGAGTTCTTCCTCACCCACAAAGGAGGCTGCGGGAGTCGGGATGGCCAGAGCTAGAGCCGGGGGTATGTGAGCTATGTCTGTTTGTGACTGTGTATGTGCCAGGGTGTCCCCGTGAGGGCTGGGAGGGTGTGCAGAAGCCGCCGACAGCAGAGCCTGGGTGTGCGTGCCTCCAGGTCTGTCTGTTCAGGTCAGCGCTGCCTTGTGTGCGCGTTTGGAGGGTGGTATCCCCACTTGTGTGTGGTGGAGGGTAGCGGTTCTGTGTGTCACTGTCTGCGCCTGTTTCGGAGTTACCAGCTGTTTCTGTGTGTGTGTGGGTGTCTGTATTGCAGCGCTGTGGCAGTATGTGATGCTGTCACTGCTGGTATCCGAGCATCTCAGTGTTGTGCAGCTGTGTGCATCGGTGTCATTGTGTGTCCGTCAGCGTCTGTGAGTCTGGCCATCCATCACGACCCCTCAGCCGGCTTAGGGTCCTCAGGCTGCTGGGGGTGATCCCCAAAGGTCCGTTGTGGTCCTTTATCTCCCGCTCCTCTCTCCGCTGTTGCTTGCTAGCTGGATAGCGTGCTGGGCAGCCCGGCTGATCCTAAGGAGGCCTGGGTCGGTGGGCTGCTCGCCTCATAGTCTCTATCCCTGCTGGCCTCAGCTCTGGGGACTGCAGGGGGTCCCCTACAGCCCCGACCCCCGAGATGATGGGCGCGGAGAAGGCTGAGCCTTAGAATCTAGGGGGTGAGCAGGGAAGAGCCAGCCGTCCCCTCCCCTCCCCCTCCCCTCCCGCCCACCAATAGGAAGTCGGCTGCCGGTTTCCATGGTGATGGCGCTGGACTGGTGGGCTGGACCAGCAGATAGGGTCGGGACAGAGGGAAGAGCAGGTTCCTCACGGGATCCCAGCATAATGCCCCCCACATGTGACCTCCCACACACCCCCATACCTCCCGGGGTACACAGGCAAGGGGGCTGCAGCGGGTCCTCCCCACATCGGCCCCAGCCCAAGACGACAGAGACAGGAGGTGGTATGACGGACAGACAGAGCTCTAGCCACGAAGAAGGGCAGGAATAGAAAAAAAAAATGGGATTTGAGATGAAACAAAGAGAAACAGAAATTAAGAGAATGAAAACAGGAAGATAGAAGCAAAGAGACAGAGACAGAAATAGGCTGAGAGAATTGCTTCAGCTTCCTCCTTGGCAGGGAGTATTTTGGGGGCGACTCGGCCATCTCCGGCCAGTAGAGGAGACCACATGGTCTTTCGGGCTGCTATGCTCCGCACTGTCAGGAAGTTCGTCTTCTGTCTAGCCGTAGGCCTTTTTGCGATGGGAAAAGGGCTTTTCTGGGCAAGAACATGGGAACTCCCCCACTTACAAGTCGTCCAGTACACGGGGGCAGGAGCCTAGATGAAGTCCTCAGAGACAAAGGTGCTGGGAGAGGCCTCAGGGAGGCTCCCCCGGCCCCTCTGAACCTGGGACTCAGTCCATCTGCGCACAAGCCAGCCTCAGCCAAGGTCGGGGGCCCTCCTGTGGCACCCTGGGGAACAGCGGCAGCCGTACTGAGCCCCTACCATGAGCTCCAGCCCGGCTCGAGCTGCTGGAGCTGTGGGTGGGGTGAATGGGGAGGGGGCACCATCCTCACTTTCCTAAAGCAGTGGGCAGATTAGAGTGTGCACCACTACCTGATGTGTGTTGCTGTTGTGTATGTCAGTATAAATGCATATCGTTATGTGCATACAGATGTATAGTAGGCATATATAGAATAGACATGTACTTATCTCTGTATATGTGTGGGGCCATGGTATTATTTCATCTATGCACGCACATATGTATTATGCATGTGATATTCTGTCTATGGGTCTCATTGGATATGCATGTTTCTGTGTATGCCATTGCATATGTCTACTTGCCACAGTGCCTGTATTTTTATGTGCATGTAAGGCTATGATTGTGTGCATGTATAAATTATAACACTTGCCCTAGCCGGTTCGGCTTAGTGGATAGAACGTCGGCCTGCAGACTGAAGGGTCCCGGGTTCAATTCCGGTCAAGGACACATGCCCAGGTTATAGGCTGGATCCCCAGTAGGGGGCATGCAGGAGGCAGCCAATCAATGATTCTCTCTCATTATTGATGTTTCTATTTCTCCCTCTCCCTTCCTCTCTGAAAGTAATAAAATATATTTTAAAAATTATAACACATATGCCATATATGTATATGAATGGCATTATATGGCACTACACAATACATGACACATTCTCATATAGTCAGTATGGGTAATGACATGGTTTTATTTATGTCTATATATCACCATGTATTTATTGTATATTTGTCATCATGTATGAATGTGTCACTCTATGTGTGTGTGTTTGGAATCAATGTGTTTATTAAGTGAATGTCACTATGTATGTATTTGTATGCTCTTCTGCTTGTGACACACATGTTTATATCATTGTATGTGTGTTCACTATTGAATATGTATGTGTTCTGAGTGTGTATATCCCTGTGTCATTCTGTGACATGCCAGCCATGTCACATGTATATGTCCTTGTACACATGTGTCGATAGCATGTGTATGGGGCCCCTGTGTATAAATGCACATGCACGCTGGGGGGTGTGCTTTGTATATTAGTATCTGATGCTTTGTTTGTGTATGAGCCAGTGTGTTTGTGCCCAATTCTTATACTACCCAGGAACCCTAGGCCTTCTTAGCTTAGAACTGGAGGTAAGCAGCCTTCAGTTTGGGGGTCTGGAGGGCAGGGCAGTGCCAGAGCTAGGGTAAAAGTTGGGAAGGCCCCTCATAATCCTGCCCCTCCATGTCATGTTCCCTTTACTGGGTTTGCCGGGAGGTCTCACTCCAGGCCCATCCTCCCTCTGCCAGCTGCGGCCTGACAGGCCCTGAGCCCTCTTCTGGTCTCACAAGCAGGCCAAACCCATTTCTCCCAGCCCTCTGTGTGCCCACCGCTCCATGTGCCCGCTAAGCCCATTCGCCCACCCCCTCCCACCCAATCCCTGGCAACAAAGTCTCAGACAAAAGAGAAGCAGAGTCCATTGTTTATTAGTTTGGGGTCCCAGACACCACCCCACATTCCCCTCCATCTACCCTCCTTTCCCGCCTTTTCTTCGTCCCGGTGCCTGTCCAGGCGGCTGGGCCCCCACTCGGAGCTTCTCCACCGCTGCATCAGGTGCCGATGCCCAGCCCTCCCAGACCTCGGGCAGCAGAGGAGCTGATGTGGCATTTCCCCGGTTGGCCATACCAGGAGGACAGCGCCATGGGTGCGGTGGAGGCCTTTCAGGGTCCTGGGCAGGGCGGGGAGGGTGCCTGAGGGGCTCACCTGTCACGCGTGGTCCCGAGCCTGGAGGAAGCCGGTGGCAGGCGGCGGCAGCGGCGTGGTCTCCGAAGCCCACAGTACACTCATCCATAAAGTAGGAAACACTACACCCTCCAGTGCTGTTAGTAGTGCTTTCTACTTTATGGGTGACTGCACTGTCTGTCTGTCCGTCTGTAGGTCTCTTCAGGCCGCCTGCTCCTCCTCCTGACTCCTGTTTCAAGAGCCCCCGACCCTCCCCAACCCTGCCCAACCCTCCCAGGGGCTTCCTAAGACCCCAGCACCTAGCCCCATGGCCCCCAGAGGGCCCGCCCTGGGCTGTGGGCGGTGACTCAGCATGGCGCCAGACCTTGCCTCCTACCTCCCTCCCCCCACTTCCTCTTTGCTTCCCTCTTCCCTTCCCCCTGGGGCTCCACCCCATCCCCCCACTTTCAGGGCCACTCAGGTAGAGACCACCACTACTCATCAGGTCTCACCCCAGTCCCCAATTCTGACCCCCTGAGTGACCCCTGCCAGACACACTACCCACCCTCCAGAGTCCAACTGAGGCAGCCACAGCCTCCTGCCCTCAAGGCCTCAGTCTCCAGCCTCCTTCCCCCAAGGCCTTGGCTCCCAGCCTCCTCACCAGCCCAAGGCCCTGAGCCCTTCCCTGCTGGGTGGCTCCCCAGGCAGGAGCCCAAGGCTATCGCAACAGAGCTGGTGGCCATGTTGGGTGGAGGGAGATGCTTAGGGCCCCTCACTGACATCAAGTCCCACTTTTCAGCCTCTGCCCACCCTCTGCCCACCTTCTGCCATCCCCACCCTTGTCTCTGGCTCTTGGCTCTTGAAGCCTTGGACCAGCTTTCTTCATCTGGGCACCAGGGGCCATTTTCTCTCCCTTGTCCAGAGGGAAGTCAAGGCCCACAACTTTAAGAAGCTGTCCCACCACGAAGGCAGTGGACCTGAGGGTTATCGCACCGCTTTGCCTAAAGCTTTGCTGGTGAGCTTTGCAGGCACCCAAGCCCCGGAAGCCCCTCCCGAAACCATCTCCACCCAGGGCTGCAGCCCAAGCCCCTCATCGCCCCTTGAGGCCCAGAGTCGATGAGTCCCCGTTGGGGCTGAGGTGAAGGGTCAGACCCCTACCTGATGTTGCAGGGCTGAGGGGAGCAAGCCCTGTGCTCCAGGCTCCCAAGTGGGGTTCCCTTCAGGGCGGGCAGGGCTTATAACCCCAAGGCCACGTGGGCCAGATCTCAGGGCGCCCAACGGTCTTGGAGCCCGCCCCCACACGGCCTCAGAGATTAGCGTGCCCCTCCCCTCCCTGGGGAGGACAGACTGACAGGAAACCAGAGACAAGGCTGGGTACTGGCAGGAGGGGGCTGAAGAGACCATCTCACACACCCTGGGCAGGTGGCTTCCGGGACCCCAGGCCTACCCATCCCCCATGGCGCCAGCCCCAGAGGTTTGTTCAAGAGTCTGGGACTGACTCAGGGCACTGGGGCTCCTGTCAGGGCAAACTCTGAATTCTGAATTCCAGCGTAAGAAAAGGACTTTTTCCCTGACCCCAGCCCAGAAAACTCCCTTCCCTTTGGGACAGCAGTGGCATTCAGACGAAGCTGTGGCTCCTCTCCAGGTGCTACCCAGAGAGACCACGGAGGAGCAGGTGCATGAAGGGGGTCTGGGCCAGCACATCACGATGCCATCCACATAATCAGGTGACCTTAGCGCCCCACAAAGCCACCCCTCCCCAGCCCCAGCCTGCAGGAGGTAAGACCTGCACCCTCAATACATATGGGGGTCACACTTGGGTCAGGCGGATCTGTTGGCCCGAGACTGGGTGTTCATGCTTCCCTCAGGGCCTGCAGGGATAGGAGGGCAGGGCAGAGCAGTGGTGAGAACAGGGTCTCAAGCAGGGCATGGGTGCCACTGGGCTTAGAGTGGAGGGAAAAAGGCTCTGAAGGGAGGTTCTCGCAGTCACCGGATGTGGGCAGGGGCCCGCCCACCTGCACGCCACCCCCGCTTTCCCCATGGGGAAGGCAGGAAGCTGCCCATCCCAGGGTCCCTAGCTGGGGGAGGGGAGCAGGGTGTGGGTATGGGTGGGGAAGAGGCCTGGGGGGGCTGGGTCTAGGCTACACATATTCTCCAAGCCTCTCAGTGGGCTTGACTCTGGAATATAGAGGAATAGATGGGGGCGGGGAGGGGGGGGGTGCAGTGTAGAATCACCCAGATTCCTTCCCAGAAGGCCATGACCTTCTTCTCTGGGTCCCCCATTCAGAGTCAGGCCCACACACACTTGAGGGAACTCTCAGATTCAAGGCCCAGAAGAGGGTTGGCACGTGCTGGGGCAGCAGGCAGGGAGATTGCCTCGGACCCTTTCCTTCAGGAAGGCTACCCTCAACCGGAAAATTGTTAACCATCCCAGGTGCCTACATGAGACAGAGAAAGGGGGACCAG